TATGACATATATTTAAAATAAATATATGATAAGTAAATTGAATCTGTAATTTAAACTATCCCAGAATATAAGCAAGAAATAAGAATGGTCAAGAAGCACATAAAAGCTTACCAAATATGATTAGTATCAGGAAATCCTTATATTATGTGTTGTGTCTATAGGTTCATCAGTCCTGGGTTTCATATATTGAAAACCAGAAAAATACATAACAAAAATTCAAGAGGGCTACCGGCAATGACAAAATACATCTGAGATAAATCCTACTATGAGAAAAAAAATGTTGAAATCAAGATCCGGCCCAACATGAGTCAGAGGTGGGATCAATTGATAAATTTTCAACTGTTCACGTAAGTTTTATAATTTTGTTCTCTGATAGTCATCTCTCCAATGCACTCTGTTTGGTAACCAATTTATTCCCATCCCTCAAATATGGATATAGGGAAATTGCTTATTTCCTGTGTTGATTTCACAAGTGTATCTTGGGCTTCCACTGTCATCCACAGCTTTCTGCAAACCAGAATCTTACAATTTAATCTCTAATATAATTCTCTCCTTCAGCTTCCAATTATATGATTTACAACCCCTCAGTCTCTGATGATGGTGTGCTTCTTCCATGTGGACTTAGTTGACATCTCACTTAGAGGGCTGCTTGTTTGGAAACAAGCCTTTAAGATTTGTTGGTAGTTCTACCCTACCCAGAATATCATGGAAGTAAGACCTCATGATTTGCTGAAAGTCCTTTCGAGAAGTTCTTGCTTGCATATGTGGTGTGGCCATGGTCTAGAATTGATCCAAACTAATCACAAAAGTGTATATAAATGCATGTGTCTGTATGTGTTTATACCAACATGAAATCATCAAGATACAAAAAGGTATGCATACTTTCCTGTTTTGTGAGTGTGCAGAGAACGAAACAACATTAAGAATATATAGGTGTTTAGAAAGCATACAACATAATTTTAAAATAGTGGTTCCCATGAGCTAAGAAAGTTGGATAACATAACATAAGATATAGTGTTATGGCATAATAGTGGAAGACATAAATGGGAGTAAAATATATTAAATGTTTTCTTTAGATAAAATTTAATTTTGTGTTTTTTGAATTATGTGAATGCATTTTATATCCAACAACTGGAAGAAAGAAAATAAAGAAAAAGCTCAACTTTAAAAAAAAAAAAAAAAGATCCCAGATGCTATTTTATGTGATAGCTGGGCACTATCCAATTTCTTCACTACACTTTGCTATATCACTCACATCTTCTGAGGGTACGTTTCAAGCATGGCCGTGTGGCAAAAACTAATTGTTCTTAAATTGGACCTAAGATTTAGTGCAAGCCCCAAATTCCTATATTTATATGCCTTTGGCTCCCTTTAGAGACCTCCTTGTTAATTTATTGTAGAGAATCTTATTGATCATCTTTATTGAGAGTATAAAGATCTTCTGTTAAATCGTCATTGATTAACCCCTGGTACTAATTTTGAAAATACTGTTGAGAAGGGATATTGGGTCAATGTACATATCGCAATACCTTATTGACTTGTACAGAATAAATCTTTTCATAGCTGGATGCTATTTACACAAACAATGGGAGTTGGTGGTCATGGAAAAGTTACAATAATGTTCATTGAGAATGCCAGTCACAGGTTTGCCAGAATAATATAAATCTTAATACAGCACATGGGACATCGATGTAATAACTCAATGCTGGTCCACCTACCGACAGTTGAATATTCTTGTTATAGCTGTCTTCTACTTCTTCAAACACCATGAACTTTCAGTCCTACATCCTCAAATTACAGGTGTGTTTGAGGTGGAGTCCAATTCACCTAGTAGAGTTTCCACATCAGATCCCTTGGGAGTACCTTGAAGATGTAGGATTCAGTGTTCTATGGCACGTGGCCTGGGTCCCAGGATATGTCCAGAAACTCGGGCAATGTAGCTTTTGGGGCCATGAGGTAAGAGCTAATTATTCTTAAAATGCATATTACCAGGGATACTGCCTCCTTAGGGTCTTTGTAAGTATTTTTAGTCATTTCCTCCCTTCCCCCCACTTGAAAGTTGGTCTCTCCCTTTTTCTGCCAACAGACAAGCACTTGTGTTCTCCAAGATGTGCCTGCTCCCTTTCCCCTCTCCTGACTTGACTTTCCCATCAATATCTATCATCCCTCTGATTGGGATGTCTACCTGTCTCAGGACTTCATTATACCTTTACATGACAACCACTAAATGGTCAGCATCCCCTCCCCATCCCTTGACAATTTAGTCCCAGCTGAGTTAAAGATCTCTCCACCTAAGTGACCTCAAGTTATATACCTAGAGAGGCTGTGTATGGGTCAGTGGCACCAGTCAGGCTCTCTACCAGGCTGTCTTACTGCCGACTTGATACCCTGTAAACCGGAACTTGTGCGGGTCCTGTTGTTTGTCCCTAAAGCAGTGGGCTCAAATAGTCTGACTTTTGTGATTGACTAACTCCATTCAGCATGTTTTCAAGATCTCTCTGTGTTATGAGGTGTTTCATAGTTTCATTGCTGTTTTTTAGGGGTGAGCAGTATTCCACCAATTATTTTCTTGATGATGTAGTTCTATTCTCTTCCTTCCTTGCTAAGTGGGTAAGAATGTGGCAAGGCTTCAAAGCAAAGAAAGACCAGTCTCTGTTGAGCTACTTCCATGGTTAATGGAGAGTGAAGAACTCCAGATTGTCGATTTCAACTGAGTTCAGCCCATTTCAGGAGTCAGTTCTTTATCAATCAACCTTCTGATTGATTTGTCTACTCTAAGTTTCACATGAGACATTTGTTCATAGTTTTAATAACTGCATCTTGGCAATTCACACAATTAAGTTTTGCACTCGGATTTTAGCAATATCAGCCTTGTAAGTAAAACAGGCCAGGCCTTCCTCTTAGGGCTGTCGTGGCAGCTCTTTGGTTCTCAGATTGCAAGTTCAACTGAGATCGAATCGATTTGAGTTTATCACTTTATCTCTGTAAGCATTCAATTGCAATTAAAATAACCTATCTTACACAACAGTCCTTGTTACAGATCTAACCAATAAGGGCAATGACTACTTGGACTCCAAAAGAATGAATTCATTTCACACTTCAATACAATCAACCACACGTAGTTGTTTTATTAGTTGTGATGCTACTGCCTGCCAAGGATTGCTAGCATCTAATTTAGTCTTGTGTTCAAAGCTAAATGTACAACCAAAAGAATCCAAAATCCCATCTTAGGAGGTCTATCTCTTGGTACTGGCCCACTACTTTATCAATCTGGACCCAGTCAAGAGAGAGAACACACAACAAATTCAGCAGGGAAATTTTAATATAAAGAACTGTTAACAACAGCAGAGGGTTATTGTGACAAGGGCCTGGCTAGTGAGACATAAAAATAACTTTTAAAGTATATGAATAAAACAGAGAAGATGGAGGCACCATCCCTAGAGCTGATAAAGCACACCTAAGGAAGACTTTGTGACTTATTAATAGCAAAAGTTCATGTTTATGAACTTTGCTAGAAATCTGCAGTCTGAAATTTGCCAGCAGTATGACTTGCTATGGAACCAGGAAAGCTGTTCACAGCAAGGTGTCTCACTGGAGGCACTCTGCAGCAAATGGTCCTGGAACATGGGCATCAAGAGAAGCGGTTTCTTTCTGGATGCCCAGACTGAGGAGTTGTGATCCCTGGAAGAACCTGGCTCTGGAGAATACAGCACATGCTGCATATCAACTACAAAAGTTGGCTGAGCGAGCACACCAGAGCCGGGAGACAAAAGTGCCGTTTCTCCCCAGTGCCCCCTAATGACCAAAGTTTCAGTAACAGCTGGAACAGAAAAAAAAATTTTTTTAAGTCAGATTCATATTTCACAGAGTAGGCAAAAAGAGGGGATTTGAGGTGTAGAGGCATTAACAGATCAGTAACTAGAACAGGGGTGTTATATTCCATAAAGTATAATAACGTTCAGCAACCAAAATAGTAATGGTAATTGTAATACATTCAAAAACATATGTGTGGAGCTCAAAATCATGATGGTGAGTGAAAAAAGTCAGGCGCCATAGATTATCTAATGCATGACTCCATTTGTAGGGGGTTTTAGAAAAATCAAAATGACAGGGACAGGAAGGAGGTCAGCGTATAGCAGAGACCACTGGTTGCAGTTAGAGATTGACTGCAAACAGAGTGATGTTGAGGGGTGATAGAAAGGCTTTATCTTATGAATATAAAGGTGTTTGGATGACTGGCAATGGAACTTTTCACAAACTTTTTGCATACCCTTGAATGTTTAAACTTAGTGACATTTTAAATCAACTTTTGTCACAATAGAGAAAATATTTTTAGTTTAGAAAATGAAGTAGAAAGGACACCTTGCTTAGTTATAGATTGCACCAAATGCTTCATTGTACAATGGTACTTTCTACCTAGCAAACCTGTAGGACAGCATAGAGATGTCCTGGGTTTCCAGCATAGGAACAGAAAGCCTTATAATTCTTGCATGGAGATGGTTCATACTCCTGACCTCATGGTTCTCAACCCAATGCATAACCTACTACATTACCAGGACTCCTTCAGTTACCACAACACACACGTACAAGGTGAAGATTCTAATGCTGACAAATAAACTGTCATATTCTTTTCAATTGAATTTGACTAAACCATCTCATAAGAAAACAATTTGTCTGATCAAATATTTAGGGTGAGTTAGACCCAATTATATTAGGAGAAAATGGCAGAGAGAACCTACATTCATTAAAAGGTCAAAGCAATGCCTCCATTTAAGGCATGTATAGACAGTGTGACCTTCTGTTTAGGTGGAAATGTTACCAGCTTCTAAATGAATCCAGTTATGCAAGCCCTCTATTTAGAATCCGGTTATGCAAGCCCTCTACTTAGACCGCTTCCTGCCTCAGATAAAGGACAATTGTAGGCAGAAGGTAATTCCTTTTTAAGAATCTCCTGCTTCTGGAGAGAGAGGCGGAAGGGAGCCTTCACTGAGCGGTGGCTGCGGGGTGACAAGCAGGTCCTGGGTACCTGAAAATGAGAGAGGTTTTCCTCAGTGAGGCCTGACATCATCACCCCCACAGGCAGCAGAGACCCACCCTGAGATGAAATGACTGCCAGCCCTGGGGCAGAGTTTCCAGGCAGCCACTGCACTGACTCTGGGGCCATTGCATGTCCTGGTCCTAGACGCAACTAGAGAAACCTGGACGACCTTGGCTTCAAGGAACAGGAAGATATGGGCACCAAGAAACTCACAGAAGGTTTGTCTTCTAATGAGACTCACTGCCCCCAAGAGCAAAAGCAGAAGCCCCAAACACTGGAGCCAGTCACAATCCAGGATGTCACTGTGCTTTTCTCGGAGGCAGAATGGGAGACACTGAGCTCTGAGCAGAAGACCCTGTACAGAGACGTGATGCTGGAGATCTACAGGAATCTGCTCTCTCTGGAACCAAAGTCAGAAATCTACTCCTATTCCTCCTGCCTCCTGGATTTCTCCTGTGAGCAATTCCTCAGGCAACACATGCTTCAGATCTTCCCCGATTTGTGTGCAGAGAATCACTTCCGTCCAGGAGATGCCAGCCCAGGGCAGTCAGCGCATCAAGAGTCTGCTGAGAACTGCACTAGTGAAAACACAGAAGGATGGCAGAGAGAAGTTTCCAAACCTTTGTGTGGGAGCACAGGAGAGAGAGCGACCTCAGGGGCATTCTCCAGCCTGTCCCAAGTAGGGTCAGCAAGCCCCAGAGAAGGCAACACGGTGATAGGAATGGAGGCCAATTCTGCCCAAAGAGGAAACAACTATGTGGACATAGACAGTAATTTGAAGAGATTAGCAACCCCAAGATTTGGAGTACTAAGTGTTAGAGAGGATGAGCCAGACAGTAGCCTGAAATCAAACTTCACAAACCAGAGGGTCCCTTCCCAGGAGAAGCCACATTTATACAGTGAGTGTTGCCAAGGCCTTACCCTGAAATCCTTTTTCCTTAGTCAACAGAGGACACACTCAGGTGAGAAACCTTACATGTGTCAGGAGTGTGGGCGAGCCTTTAGCTATAAGTCAAATCTCAACAAACACCAGAGGACACACTCAGGGTGGAAACCCTTTGTGTGTCAGGAGTGTGGGCGAGGCTTTAGCCAAAAGTCAACTCTCATCTGTCACCGGAGGACACATACAGGTGAGAGACCTTATATATGTCAGGAATGTGGGCGAGGATTTAGTCAAAAGGCAACTCTGATCATACACCAGAGGACACACTCAAGGGAGAAGCCACATGTGTGCAAAGAGTGTAGGCGAGCCTTTAGCCAAAAGTCAAGTCTCATCGCACATCAGAGGACACACTCAGGGGAGAAACCTTACATGTGTAAGGAGTGTGGGCGAGCATTTAGCTATAAGTCACATCTCAATGTGCACCAGAGGATACACACAGGTGAGAGACCTTATATATGTCAGGAATGTGGGCAAGGCTTTAGCCATAAGTCAACTCTCCGCTTACATCGGAGTACACACTCAGGGGAGAAACCTTACAGGTGTAAGGAGTGTGGGCGGCACTTTAGCCATAAGTCATATCTCAAAACGCACCAGAGGACACACTCAGGGCAGAAACCCTTTGTGTGTAAAGAGTGTGGGCGAGCCTTTAACCAACAGTCAACTCTCATCATACACCGGAGGATTCACACAAGTGAGAGACCTTATATATGTCAGAAATGTGGGCGAAGGTTTAGCCAAAAGGCAAATCTCAGCTCACATCAGAGGATACACTCAGGGGAGAAGCCACATGTGTGCACAGAGTGTGGGGCAGCCTTTCGCCTTAGGTCAAATCTCAGCACACACCAGAAGACACACTCAGTGGAGGAGCAACTGGTGTGCAAGGAGTGTGGGCGAGTCTTTCATTACAAGTCAGCTCTCAATATACACCAGAAGACACACTCAGGTGAGAAACCTTACACTTGTAAGGAGTGTGGGCAAAGCTTTAGCTCTAAGTCATATCTCAGGAAACACCAGAGGATACACTCAGGTGAGAAGCCACATGTGTGCAAAGATTGTGGGGCAGCCTTTATCTGGAAGTCAGATCTCAAACAACACCAGAGGTCACACTCAAGGGAGAAGCCATATGTGTGCAAGAATTGTGGGGCAAACTTTATCTGGAAGTCCAGTGTCTACAAACACCAGCGGTCACACTCAGGGGAGAAGCCACATGTGTGCAAAGTGTGTGGGCGAGGTTTTGGCCAAAAGTCAACTCTCACCAAACACGAGAGGACACACTCAGGAGAGAAACCTTACAAGTGTAAGGAGTGTGGAAGAGCCTTTAGCCAACAGTCAACTCTCATCATACATGAGAGGACTCATTCAGGGGAGAGGCCACATGTGTGTAAGGACTGTGGGCATGGCTTTAGGCAGAAGTCAAATCTCATCAGACACCAAAGGACACACTCGGGGGTGAAGGCTTAGAAATGTGGGGTGGAAAGGGAGAACCAATTACAGGGATCTACGTATAGCCTCCTCCCTGGGGGACGGACAATGGAAACATGAGTAAATGGAGACGTCGAACAGTGTAAGATACGACAAAATATAAATTATCAAGGGTTCATGAGGGAGGGGGGAGCGGAAGGGAGGGTGAAAAATGAGCTGATGCCAGGGTCTTAAGTGGATAGCAAATGTTGAGAATGATGAGGACAACGAAGGTACAAATGTGGTTTACACAATTGATGTAAGGATTGTGATAAAATTTGTATGAGCCCTCAATAAAATGATTTTTTTTTTAAGTGGAAAAAAAAAAAAAAAAAAGAATCTCCTGCTTCTGGATAACTCATTTGTGTCCCCAGCGTCTAGCCACTGTTTCACAAAGTGGACAATACTGCCCCTTGTGGGGCGCTGGAACTTCTGGGGGCTCCAAAAGCACTTTATCCTAGATTATGAGCTACAGTAAAAAAGTTGTTTAATTGCCAGGGAGTTGGTAATTTTTTTTTCTGCAAAGGGGGCTATAGGCCAAATAAGTTTAGGTACCTATGAATTCTAGATGTGAAGGTAGTTTATCTACAGGAAAAGAAAACAAAATGTTCCTATTCTAAAGCCTATGGATCAAAGTGCCATTCAATGTTCAACGATCATTATTATATATAGTCAACATTTGCCAAAGGTATAGTTTACAACAGAGGGTGGTTTTGGAAAGACTAAATATTGTCCATTGCATCAGAAACATTGCAGCAGCATGGGGCGATGGGTGGGGAAGTGTATACAAAGGATTTAGAAAAAATATTTCTCTGCAATCGTTAACAACTTTGAAGGTTTTGATCAAAACAAAAAGCTAGTTAAAATGTTTGCATTAACAGCCTGCTCTTTGGAATTTAATCATGCCAATAAAGGAGAAACGTAATGAAGGCAGGCTTCCTAGAATAATGCCATTTTGTTCATTTTTAAAACTAGGTGAAGAGGCAGGGACATACGCAGAGAGAGTATCCTTTTAAAAAGTCCTATTAAGAGGAAGAACTTGATATAGTGTTGCTGTTAGGTGCTGTAAAGTCAGTTCCAATGCTGAAGAACCCGATGTATAACATAATGGCATGCTGTCCGGTCCTGCATAATCCTCAAAGGGTATGTGTGAGGACGTGTTGCAGTCGCTGTGTCAGTCCATCCCATTGACAGTCTCTCTCGTTTTTGCTGAGCCTATGCTGTATCGAACTTGAAACCTTCGGCAGGATTGGCTCCTCCTGATGAGGTGCCCAAAGTCAGCCAGCTGAAGTTTGGCCATCCTCGCTTCTGAGGAGCCCTCTAGCTGTGCTTTTCTCAAGACAGATTTTGTTTTTAATTAAATAATCACTTTATTAGGGGCTCATACAACTCATCACAATATGTCATTTTTGTCCAGCACATTAATGCATATGTTGACTTCATCATTCTTACAACACCCGCTTTCCACTTGAGCCCCTGGTGTCAGCCCATTTTTCCCCCTCCCTCCCCGCTCCCCCCTCCCCCCGACAATTTATAATTTATTATTATTTTATCATATCTTACCCCATCCCATGTCTCCCTCACCCACTTCTCCGCTGTCCGTCCCCCAGGGAGGAGGCCACACGTAGACCCTGTCCTCTGTTCCCCCTTTCTCCCTTTCCTTCCCTCCACCCTCCCGCCATCGCCACTCTCTCCACTGGTCCTGGGGGGTTCATCTGTCCTGGGTTCACTGTACTTCCAGTTCCCGTCCATGCCAGGGCACCTCCTCCTGTCCAGCTGGATATGCAAGGCAGAATTGGGATCATGGTAGTGGGGTGGAGGAAGCATTTAAGGACTAGAGGGAAATTGCACATTTCATCGCTACTACACTGCACTCCGATTTGCTCCTCACCTCCCCGCAGCCCCTGTGCAAGGGGATGTCCAATTTCCCCCGGATGGGCCCTGGGTCCCCACTCTGCACTCCCCCTCATTTACAATGTTATGATTTGGGGGGGGGGGTTTCAAGACAGATTTTTTAATTCTTCTGCAAATCTGTGGTTCATTTGATATTCTTTGAAAACACCACAATTAGAATGTGTTCGTTCTTCTTCCCACAATTCCTGGTGATTGGTATGGGAAGGTTGGAAACAAAGAAGATGGATCCGTAGTTGAAAAATATGGCCTTTGGAACAAAAAATCTTACCATAGTGAATGATGGGGTGAGTGTGGAGTAGAGACCCAAAGCCCATTTGTAGACCACTGGAGATCCTCTTGCAGAGGGGTCTCAGGGAGGAGACAAGCCAGCCAGATGTAGCAACGATGAAAAATACAACTTTCCTCTAGTTCCTAAATGCTTCCTCCCTGCTCCCACTATCATGACACGAATTCTACCTTGCAAGTCTGGCTATACCAGAGGATGTACACTGGTACAGATAGGAACTGGAAACACAGGGAATCCAGGACAGATGATCCCTAAGGACCAGTGCTGTGAGTGGCGATACTGGGAGGGTAGAGGGAGGGTGGGTTAGAAAGAGGGAACCTATTATAAGGAACTATATGTGACCCCCTCCCTGGGGGAAGGACAACAGAAAAGTGGGTGAAGGGAGACGTCGGACAGGGAAAGATATGACAATAATTTCTAAATTTTCAAGGGCTCATGAGGGAGGGGGAGCAGGGAGGGAGGGAAAAAATGAGGACCTAATGGCTTAAGTGGAGAGGAAATCTTTTGAGAATGATGAGGACAATGAATGTACAAATGTGTTTTACACAATTGATGTATGTATGGATTGTGATGAGTTGTATGAGCCCCTAATAAAAACGATTTTAAAAAAAAGATGGCCTTTGTGACAGAAATCACATAATAGAATTTTGCACCACCAACAACTTCTTCATTGCAAATACCATTGTCAACAATATAAATGATGGCAATATGTGTGCACCTCACCAAATAGAAAACATAAGAATCAAATTTATTACCTCTATGGTAAGACCATGCAGACCCACTCAATATTATTAGTCAGAACGTGGCCAGAACTGTACTTGCACTCAGACCACCAGTTGCTCATATGGAAGTTGAAGCTGAAGAAAATTAAAACAAGCTCTTGAGAGTCAAAACATGACCGTGAGAATATACCACCTGAATTTAGAGACTATCGCAGCAGGTTTGATGCATGAAAAGCTCAAGCAAAAGACCAGATGAGTTATGGGATGACATCAAAGACACATACATGAAAAGAGTTAAGAGTGTTTAAAATGATTGGAAGAAAGAAAAGGACCAAAATAGATACCCCAAGAAATACGGATGCATATTGTTTAAAGGAAAATAGCTCAAATAAAAGGAAGAATATTGAAGTGAACTAGCTGAACAGAAGACTTCAAAGGCTAACTGAAGAAGACCTAAAAACAATAATACTCAGCACTTCTCCAGCTGAAATAACTGAAGAAAATGTCACGCCTCAAATGATCATAGTGAAGATTCTATGGGGAAACTATTGGGTAATGGAAGCAGCATCCCAAGAAGATTAAAGGAACACAGTCACTGTACCAAATGGTCGATGCTCAACCATTTCAGGAGGCAGCTTATTATCAAGAATTGATGGCATTGAAGGAAAAGTTCAAGTTTTACTGAAAAACAAAACCAAACTCATTTCCATCGCGTCAATTCCAACTCATAATGACCTTATGTTGCTGTCGGTAGTGCCATCCAGTCCGCTCTGACTCACAGCGACCCTGTGGACAACAGAACAAACACTGCCCGGTCCTGCGCCGTCCCCACAATTGTTCTTATGTTTAAGTTGATTGTTGCGGCCACTATGTCAGTCCATTTCGCTAAGGGTCTTCCTCTTTTTTGTTACCACTCTACTTTACCAAGTATAAGGTCCTTTTTCAAGGACTGCTCTCTCCTGACAATATGTCCAAGGTATTTGAGACAAAGTCTCCCCACCCTTGCTTTTAAGGAGCATTCTAGTTGTACTTCTTCCAAGACACGGGCGTGTGTCCTTTTGGCAGTCCATGGTACTTCCAGCATCATAACTCAACTCTTCTTTGCTCTTCCTTAGGCAATGCCCAACTTTCACATGCATCTGAGGCAATTGAAAATGCCATGAGCAGCCACACCGTATCGCCCAAAGTCAAATCCTTTCATTTCAACAGATTGTGCAGCAGATTCACCCAGGGATATTGTCTTTTGATCTCTAGACTGCGGCTTCAATAGCGTTGATTGTGGATCCAGGCAACACAAAATCCTTGACAACTTCAATCTTTTCTCCACTTGTCATATTGGTATGCTTGTAAGGGTTTTCGTTTCTTAACATTGAATACCGAAGGCTGCAATCCTTGATCTTTATCAGCAAATGCTTCAAGTCTTCCTTGATTTCAGCAAGCAATGTTGTATCATCTACATATCACAGGTTGTTCATAAACCTTCCTCCAATCTTGATGCCACAATCTTCTTCAAATAATCTAGATTCTCTGCTTATTTGCTCAGCATACAGATTGAATATGTAAGGTGAGAGGATACACAGCTTTCTTTTTTTTTTCTTTTTTTTTTTTTTTTAACATTTTATTAGGGGCTCATACAACTGTTATCCCACTCCATACACACATCAATT